ACACCTACGGCTTGTGTATCCAAAAGAAATAGATGGAAAAAAATAAACCGTAACCGCATACCTACAGTATCCGTACTAGGCTCTAATACGAGCTAAAGAGCAAGAGCGGGGGTTGGACTGCGGTATCGTCGAAGCGAGACGAGAACAAGAGGAGACCAGTATCCGGTGGCAAGGCGCAAGCCACCCTCACTGACAGGATGCGCACGACACGCAAGACAATGCATGAGCAGCGCTGCGTATGGCCACCAAGGGGGGGGGGGGGCTGGCAAGCCGGCTCGAGTGAGCGTAGGGCAGGACAAGCCGGGACATGAGATTTTCGGACCTTGGCCTTGATATTGTCGTCCATTTGCTGAGTGTTGACGCTGCCACCGCCGATGAGGCTGCTGCAATTCCCTCTTCTGACTGCGCAATGTGTTTCTGGCTTGCATCGCACACAGTCATCTTTGTCCCCTGGTCCTATGATAATTCTCCGCGCCCTCGTGCTTGGCATGCAGCTTTGTGACCTGATTATGTATAGAGACTCCGCCAGGAGCTGCCGTCGGTGGGTAAGCATTGTAGCTTCGCCTAGCTTCCCAAAGTGGGTAGGTGATTGAGGGGTGTCGTCGTCGGGAAACCGTGTACGCGTGCGAGTGCCGCCGTGTTCTGTTTGAATGCAGTTCAACATCCGTCGCCAACAGGGATAACCTGGTACGCATCTTGGAGGCAGCAGACAGATGCAGAAGTGTGTGAGCAGAGTTCGACCAGAGGCGCAGGGTCGATCCTGATGATGAGTTGACGACACCATCACCCATATGACAGAAGGAAAGAAAGAGGAGAAGCTGCCAAAGCGCGGGGAAGGTTGACAGAGAGATACAACGAGGTCGATATCAGGAAACTCGGGGACAATACCTACACTTCCCCAAAGCTTGATATCAACCGTTTTTGGCCTGGGCCGTACCTTACTCGAGGCTTCAGCTAGACTCTGCACCTTGGTTTCTCACTTTTGTGTTCTCAAGCTCGATACTTACACTAACGAGATGGAGCGGGTTGTGGCCGCAGGTCAGCTGAGAAAGCGAGTTCGAGTGAGTTCGCTCACAAAGCTCTCAGTCCAGAGATACTGATTGGACGCTTTCGCTGCAGACGCGAATGGGACGCGATGCGGTCTCGTGCTGAAGCAGACAAGAACAAGGATACATCTCCTGGCCGCGCTGATGTTTTGTCCAGCCCCCTCCTGTCTCGTCTGGGGGTTTGCTGGTGCGTGTTCGAACATGAAAGCCCCCTCGTCGAGGAATCATAAAGCTTTTCGTGGTTTCGCTGATGATGTGTAGTATTGACTAAGCTTCTTTTTGTCTTCATTCAGCAGCAGCTCACAGACCTCATCTACTGATTATGGGACTAGGTGATACGTAAGGTAGGGATATACGCACCTTGACTGCTGAAAGTGAATTGAGCGATGGATGGGATGCCGAGCCCAGGATTTAGGTCTTGAGTTCAGCGCGGAGCTCCTACTTCCAACACTTGCCTTCCCGCGTCTGCCTCATGTCATCATCATCCTTGACCGTAGCAGCAAAGTTTCTGGCCCAAGAGAAACAATGAGGTTTTGTTACTGTAGCCTTCAGTGAACAGACTCGAGCCCTGCAGCAGCACCAGCGCAACAGGTTGGAGTGGGGTTGGCTGTCCGTAGTCAAAGGGGGATTCAAAAGAGGCCAGCCACAGTTGATGGTTCAAGAATCAGCGGAGAGCTGGAGAAGAGGGTGTGAAGGTGCCATAAGGGGTGTGTGTGGATTTCTTTGGTTTGACGAGGTATTAAAAAACGGGCTGTCGTTGCTGGTATGAGAGGAGGCCACCGAGGGCGAGGCCATGGGAACGAAAGAAGATGGGAGTGGGTGTTCGTAGGTAGTTGGCAGAAAGAAAACGGGACAAGGTGCCTTACTGCAGTAGACGCCTCAGTGAGGTACGTAATTGGCGAGGACGTACCGAGCTCTCAAGGGGCGGGCGGCGTGTGCGTCCGAAGGATTCTGGATGCTCGGGAGATACCTGGACACGTTACGTCGGTACGTACCTACGCCTGTGCGCCATCTCTCCCCTAGGTAGCTTACCTTCTTTACCTTTGCCTTACCTTGCTGCGAATGTTGGCAGGCAAGTACATTGGGACGAAACCGCGAAAAACTGCCTTGTAGATTTTGGAATGTAGAGTAGTGCCCAAGTCAAGAAGATTTGTGTATCTCAAGATGCCTTCAGATGGAAAACGTTCTCTGCTATCTACGCCTACTTCTCATAGCTCCATTATCTTGAAGGTGATGAGTATATTGCTTTTGAAATCAGCATTGAGCGAGATGTTAGTCTGACGTTGACATCCAACAACCTGTCAGCTGAATAGAATACCAGGCACTCTGTACCGTAAGCTTATGAGATCATCATGGAGATTATCCAATGTCAATGTTTGTTGGCATTCGAAGGCACGGCAATGTCCGCGCACGGTAGATCATTTAGTTCGGTTAGCCGTGTGACAATGGTAACCAGAGAAGGCGCAGTCCGCCACATAACTTCGGACTCAAGCTATGTGTAGAGATAGAGTCCAGCGAGCAAGCCATCTGGTGTTGTTGAGTCCTCTCACTTAGGCAATCTGGCAGTGCAATCACTCCAGATACCAGCGGTGTGGCTGATGGACGGGAATATAGTCGAGACATAGGCGAGACCCGATGTAGAAATCGAGAAACCATGTCTTTCAGTGGGCGCTTCCGTAGCGCCTCTGGGTCGCGTGTTGCTTGAGAACCTATCGATGGATGTTGATTCAGAGAGCCAGGCTCTAACTCTACGGGACAAGGTGTCAAGGAGAGATCCCAACACCGAAAGATTCTCTCCGTCATCCATGGGATAGCTTAGTGGTGGCGGGAAGCCTGCCTGGTCCAACGGCGTCTGGGCTAAGTGGCCGCAGCTGTTCGATGCAAGTTCTTGTCTCGTCTGCCGCCCGCCGGCGCTCGTCTCATCCTCGGTAGTCTACGGCAGGCAAGGAAGCGTCTCCTCCACCATCTCTGCGCAGCATTGCCTTGATTCAGTCAGGCGCATCTTGCTACATGGCTCTGAGAGGCGGGACCGGGTGGTCAGGTCATGTCCGCCATCACATTGTCTACAGCCAAAGGAGGCAGAAGACGCATATATGTACGGATAGTCGTTGCTAATTAGTTTTTGACGCTGGTTCGGCTCCGACAGGGGACTGGCTGGAAAAGGAATGGTGGTCGAATGCATCGAGAACCGAGAGGAGGTTGCATGCGTTCTGAGCGCGGTCCACAATGGCGACTGTGCGCAGATGAAGCCGAAGTTATCAACCTGTGTTGCGCAACGGCCAACGTATGGTGATCGGGGAAAGTCCGGCTAGGCAGCGAGATGATATCTCACGACTGATCAAATATGTGCTGCGGTAGTGCTACATTGACGGCCGAGAAAGATCAACAGCATGATTCTCCCCGTCCTCGAAACTGTATTAGGTGAGGAGGAATTTGACTTCTGGCACTGCCGCTCAAACGCGCGAGCACTCGTCCCCGGAAACGACACTTAGGCTTGAGCGATGTAATCTTTTCATCGAGAAACTCTTGGAAGGCTACTGCTACCTGTCAGGCTTCTCGTCCTGTCAGTCGCAAGTGGATTTGTCGACTAGGATCCCCCAAGAGGTCACGCCGACAGGCCCATCTCGGATTTCCAGGCTAATTTGGCATGCTGCTTCAACTCAACACATCGAGTTTATACTCCAGAGGCGAAAGAGTTGCAGTCTTGTGATTGGATGCTTCTTCCAGCCAACAGCGGCGTAGTTGCCAGAATAGGATGTGAACTCTCTTCTGGGGTATCTCGTTACGCAACATGGAGGAAGGTGGTGGCGGCCAAGTTTCGGAGCATTCGTACGTTTAGGAGCACGCGGTGCTCTGTTACTCTGTACGCCATGGCTGATGCTTAGTTGTGCGGAACAGCTCGTTCGACTGTGGCTGGCTACCATTGCCGTAAAAATAGCATTTCACGTTGCACTGTGAATGAATGGCCGCGTTCTCGCCATGTGCGTTACGCCGTTGTGCTGGACTCGAGTTGATGACCAGATACTGACTTTTGAGTAGCGATGTGCAGCGGCTGAAAGCAGACAAGAAACATATCAAGAGTGTACTACGGATACTCTCTTGAACAAAAGTAGAGTCGTCGTTCGTTAAGTGGTGGTGGTTGTGCTGCCATTTCATTCTGGTGGTGCTAATCCTTTCTGTGTTGGTGTATTTGGACTAGGGGACTGGGCTAGACCGGAATCTGGAATCCAGATTCTCGACTTTGGACCCAGCAAATCTCTTTTGCACTTGTAAATGCGATGGCGCCCGGACGATCCCAGATCGCCTTCCATCGGATGTCGACCAATCAACAAGGACGGCACTTTCCCCTCTGAGAAGTTTGTGGCAGGAGCGGTTCCGTCTCTCGATTGGCTCTAGTCTCCTTTCGGATAGCAATGGAGACCAATCTGCATGACTGTGCAGTACGTATCCTCGCGAGGGTGTGATAACAGGGGGGCAGGTGTGGATATATCCCGCGTGCCTGCTCCTTCTTCACAACCACGACGTTTCCTGGAAGCTACACCCCTGCTCGCCCACCCAGTCGGAATGAGCTCCCAAGGAAAGACATTGGGTAGCTAAGAAGGTGCGGAGCTACAAGGCAGGTAAACCCCTGCCATGACTGTTAATCTGAAACACGGTGACGAGGAAACAGGGGCCTTCCTTTTCATCTACGTTGACCACAACTGCCCGCACTTGCACTTGCACTGCTGCAGTCACCAGTGACCACCTACCACCACTTGTTATGTACGGAGTACCTGTTACCACCACCACCACCACCACAATGTAGGTAGGAGCGAAAAAAGGAAGGAGGATGCGCGAAAAACGGAAGATAACATGAGAATAAACATAACGCTCGATTCTGCGCGTGAAGCAGTCACAACAGTCATCAATTGCCGCTGATGGGCACAAGGCGCCCAACCTGTAAAGCATCTGCCCACTACCAACCAGACCGCCATCTTTGTTCCCAAGGCCACTGTCTTTTACGGACGTATGCATCTCTTGATCCATGCTGCTCGGACGAACACCGTCAACGCCCACAAACCATGTCCATTGCTGTAAATGGCCTCGGACGACGTGACGGACAAGTGCCGCCTTGCCATGGCCTACAGCCTACGGATACTTCTTCTTTCTATTGTCAAAGACCCAGGCCAGACTGAAGCTCTTCAGGACGTGCATGACAAGCTTCGGGCAACGCCACGCATCTCAACACTAATCATGCGGCTCTGGGGGACTTGACTTCAACTTTGGGCTTGTGGCTCGATCCAGCAGCTTGGCCCCAACTATCGACAGCCCAGTTTCGCAATATTTGCACTGAGGTGCACTCTACGCCCGCCGCTACCTTGCCACCAGTACTCGGAGATCCATCTTCTCGCCTATTCCGGTCACGACAAAGCCCAGTCTTCGATGGCGCATTCGCAATACCGCCAAAAAAGGCATCGTGGCTCTCGCAGGATGGTCTGTCAACCTTATCCGGGATTTGGGCGGTGGTCCTGCACTTCTGCTTCTTCTACGACGGAACACCGAGGCATGGCCGTTGCCCCCCATCCCCAAGGCCGGACAACGCCACGTCCCTGACCGTTCAATTCACCCGCCCGCTGCAAGAATCTCCAAATCACAATCTCCCCTAATGCCGTCAGCCCTGGGACCCGTCAGACCCCGCCAAGCCAGCGCTTGACACACCCACACATCCTCAGCCTTCCACTGTCCAATTTGGTGGCGGTTTCACCTCACCCATCTAAGATGCCGGCGGCGAGGGCGTTGGCACTCTGGGGGCTCTTCTCCTCAGCTGTGGAAGACTCATAGCGAAATCTACCATGCTGTGCATCGACAGCCTGACATGACAGGCTCTCGAGTAGGCACGCAAAGGCTCTAGATCCTCTCCTTCAACCGAACCGAAGGAGCCATTAACCAGCGCTATCCAAGCGGCTAGCTCAGTTATCACCACCCAGAAACCCAGTTACAGACTGACTGCAATAACCTTGGATTCGCGGACTTCCGGAGAGAACTGCGGAGTAAATTGTGTACCCGCTACAGCAGGCGCAAGTTCTGCTGGTCAAGCCAAGCATTTAAGTCGGCATGTGACGATTCGCAGCGCAGAAAAGATCCTCTGCACTCTGTGTCGACGCGCACGAACTGTAGCGCATTCCTCAGCTGCAGCCAACAATTTGATTGGCTTCGTCTAGCCGAAAGTATTGTCCAGAAAGTTGTGAAGACGGTCCGACGTAGCTGGTCAGGTCCAGGCAGGGGTTCGATTCAGCACGACTCCCGCCATCAAGACTGGCCTGGCGTATGCTTCGTCTTTTCTAGCGATTTCAGTACCTCGAAGTCGGTGTGGTACTACCGAATAGGCCTTTTCTACGATGAATCAGCTCCAATGGTGGCCAGCTCAACACAGCTAATATCCAAGCTAGCTCGGCACACTTGGCAGAAAAAAGGCACGATCGTCAAAGTTTGGACCAGACAAGTGTGGCAAGCATGTGCTTCGCATGCGTTCCGCGACGCATCATGCTCGTGCTTTTGCAACGCTGATCCTCCACGAAGCTTGCCCTAAAGATCTGCGTAGGAGAATGGGAAGGGGCCGGGTTATCGGCGGAACGCGATCGATGGGCTAGGGAGGACGAGACGGGGACGGTGAACAAACCTCACCCAGCCCCACGAGCAACACTACGACACTGACACCCACACCGTTCGAGTCTCGACTCGACACAGGAGTGGCATCGCTACGCGCCAAAGTCCCGCTCCTCCGGCTTATTGGAGCTTGCGCAACTGTCCTATATGCCTAAAAAGATCTGTTGACCGTCCTGATCTGCGATGAGGCCGCATGAAGATCTTTGGTCAACGTGATTAGCGAAGGGGAGAGGCACGCTCAACCAAGCTCAAACTCCGGAAACGCGGCTTTTTCTGCGCAGTCTGGACACGAGCAAAGGAAACACGTTCGTGGTTATCACACGGGACTATAGCTCTTTTTTCTCACTCGAAGTCTGTCTATGGCCGACGAAGACACCGATCTCTCCCCGACCCTCGCGAGCCTCGAACCAAAGTCGATCCTTAAAAACAGAGACTAGGCTGGATTATGCAGTCAGCTAACTGACAGCTTTGCCGCTACGAGCGGCGCGGTACTAGCCTGTCTGGCCCGTGACATCTTCGTGCTAAAACCGTGGTTTAGCAAGCATGTTTGCCCGCTACAGGGCGCATCAGCAGATTGGTTGGGAAGCGTGCGTGGTTGACAGATGTCGACCCGAGCCTACAACGCCATGTGACGCCAATTGAGTGATTTCTGAGACAATGTAGTCTTGTTCTTTCAAGTTCGTGAGACAGGCGACTGTATGCAAAGTTATGGCAAGCTGCCATTGCTGTGTGAACATAAGCTCCAGTTGCGTATGTCGTTGTCTCAAAGGGCTCTGGCCACCTGTTCCCGAGTCGGCATTAGCTCAAGGGAAATGCTGGGTCATTGAGGTACCAGAGTTACCTCTTCGTCATCTCCTGAGGAGAACCACGGCTAACCTGCTCATGGACACAGAGAGATTAGAGGGCAAAGCGTCGCTAGGCCACCCCTTCCGATTCCCCTTCCGTTCTCCAGAACGCCAACGTAGACGGGGACAAGGATTCTCTCAGCCGGCTCTATGTCACTCTGTTGATTGGATCGAAGTTTCGATGATAGTTGTTAGGGAGGTGAAGCTCGACTGATTGCGGCATTGGGCTCGCTAGCTTTTGTCACAAGTTTATTAGGTGGAGAAAGTCAATCCGCCTGGCCTCCCATCCAACCTATCTCATGCATTTCGTCTCATCTCTTTCTGCTTGAGTCGAGAATGATGCTAGGGAAAGGCCCGTAAAGCTCTGGCCGATTTGGGACCATGACCTCGAGTATCCCTACCGCTCCATTTCGAGACGACTGGACAGTCACTGGAAGCATCAGGCCGCCGTCCGAAATGCTCTTCGACGATGCTTATAAGGCTTGCGTCGAAGATAAATGAGGGTAGCGAGGGATACTACCCTGCCACGCCTCGGATCCTCGGAAAAGGAGATTGTCCCGCACGTCATGGTAATTCCCTGTTCCCACCGTCTCTTTCTAGGCGTGCCAGGGGAACTGGACCAGTGTCCATAGACAGGTCCAGGCCAGACTCGACAGAGCTCGCCTACAGTAGACGTACTCCATACAGAGTACAGAGTACAGAGTGCGGATACATTAACCTCATCCTGTCGTGAAGTGGGGGATGCACAAGCAAGGAGAGGATATGCAAGTGTTCCTAGCGGATGCGGGCTGGACGGCAAGATGGTCGCATCCAATTTGCAAGGCGCAACGCCTTGTTTCCCTCTCTTCTACTACGTAGGCTTCGTAGGTTTCGTCTCATCTACAACGGAGAACTCAGCACACATTGGCCGACCAGGCGAGGGCCTTTGCAAGGCATCTCAGCGCTCGCTTGTCAGATTAGGCCAAGGATCTGACTGAGTCTATAGTTCACAGCACGTCATTCACGTGAGTCTATTCCGTTCTGCAATACCTACAAAGTAGACCTCCTGAGGGCAGCGTGCAGGGAGGGCGACTTTTGTGAGGAGTTTGAAATCGGCCAAACACAAGTCCAGGGCATCACCGCCCTACCGAGACAACGGCAGGGCTAGTCAGTGCCACTTGGCCATGCGGACGTTCCCCGGCGAGACGAGGCCTTTCGTCCTTTCCAGCTAGCGTCCCGATATGGAAATGATCTTTGAGGGGTTGCATCTCAAAAGCTCACTGTGGCCAAACCCGTTTTTCAACGTGCCAACCTCCATGGTCTCAAAACCCCCCAAATCCACGGATACTACATCCGGCGAGTCGTTGCGGGAATTAACGACAGGCCAACCGCCAACCGGCCAGGGAGCCGGGACAAGCACCGAGTTGCCAGAGGCATGGGGTGCCTCTAATCCCGCAATGCGTTTTCTCGCCATGTTCTTGGACGGTCGAATCCCTACCCATGCCCACTGTTGTACCTGAGAGGATGAGGCTTGAGGCTTGAGGCTTGAGTGAAGCCCATCCGCATCGGAGGTTTAACCCCCAAAGGCGAAACAATGTTTGCTTCCCGTCTCGCCGGCTCGCGTCTGCCGTGCACGCCGTGTCCGCCGGGAACGGCTTTTACCATCCCCACCTTTAAAGAGAATTCTGAGTAATAGACGATGATGTTACGCGGATGAAGGGGTGGGGACGGCAGGCACTGAGACGGAGTCAGCAGGACGCATCGCGGAAGAGGGGAAGGGCGAATGGCGGCGTGAGGACTGAACGAGCGGAGAATGGCGAGGCAGACACCAGTTCTGCTTCTGCCACTTAACCCCCCACAGCCGAGGGAGATTGAAACCGCGCTGGGCAAGCGTAGAGGCGGAAATCATCACAATTACAGTGAGCAAAGAAGACCCAAGCAGGGCCCAAGCAGGGTGCCCTCGAGTCTGGAAACGGATCGGTACGAAACGGTAATCAGACGTGTCTCTCTCTCCAGAAACCCTTCCCGCCCTTTCGCCCTGCCCTTTCCCTTTCTCCACCATCAGGGAGATGAGAAATTAAGCGGTTCTCGATGGACCGCGGGGCGCCTTGGCATCAAGCAGAAGGAAAGGCAGCGGGCCAGAAGAAGCTCTAGAAGGAAAAGCAAAGCCTCTTCCATTAAAGGTATTCCTAGGATCCGCCTCTTCGCTGTGGCTGTTTTCTCCATCTAGGCTTTCGTTCCTTCGTGAGCGGGCCCTCGCCATATTTTCGGCATTTCCTTCAACTCGGCGTGGGCATCCACATGCAGGCAGAATTCATGGTCTCGGATGCAGGGAGCAAGGTATCAGGACAAGTTGAAGCGTCGTGTTCCCAACTTCCGACAACTTGACAAAAGTTGTCTCGAGATGTTCGGCGTGGCAGGCTGATGTTCTGCCCACCAACCCCACAGCTCATCTGTCTGTAATCCATTTCCCTCCTCCTCACTGTTGTTACCCCCCTTCCTTCGCCTTCAGTCTTGACATGGAGAGTCAGAGTTGGAACTCTTAAGATGAGATGAAAATGATGATTATCGTGAAAGCATCATTGAGGAGAGATCATGCCTGTTAGCTATCAATCAAGTTTAGACGATGACGGGTCGGCGGGAACATCCTGAGAAGAAGAGCATAAGAAGCTCGCACAGACGTGAGGGGGTGTGAACTCTGTTGGTCCAAACATGGGATGATCCTGTGATCTGAGCTGCTGCATTAATAACTTGGACTATTAGAGAAACCTTTTTTTTATTGCGTTTAGGTTTCTTTCGCTCATCTTTGGGTGTAAGGACATTGCTTGATCCGGAACAAAAGGTTTCTGACAAACATGGGACGGAAACCGTCAACCGCATTTGTTTCCCATTCCGATCACATTTCTGGTTGATTGCGAGAACTAGGGCTAGTTTGGACCATGTTGCCTTATTTGACTACCCAGTGTCTAAATTGAATGGATCTCTCTCGCTATATCCCTTTGTGGGATGATGCCTCTGCCTGGAATGAGCGTTTCAAGGGGATTTGTATTCACTTCTGGAACTTGGAAACTAAGGCATGCCGAACGGGCGAGCGTGACGAATCAGGCAAGAGGCAAAGCAAGAGCAAGAGAAAATGAAATGAGGATGAAAAAAAAAACAAGTCGTGCCAAAAGTTGAACCTCCAGCCCAGCCACACAACGGCGAGGCAGATTTTCTCCCTTGTATCTGGCAGAAAACAAGTTGTCCGAATCCATTTCGAGAAGATGGTCCAAAGGGCAGACTCTAGGAAGGGGAGATAGGGAACAGAGAGGAGGAAGGGAAGACGAAGCTCCACTCTGAACATCTCTCGCTCTTACATTGCGGCGGCTTCACTGCCGCAGTCCGGTTTACGAGTAAGTTATTTTGGCCCAAGTTGGTCTGCGCTGGATTCCGCCGTAATCTCTTTTCTCTCTTTTGCTCTCTCGATTCGTATCTCTTCCCTTTCCGTTTAGGCGTTGCTTGAAGGTAAGTAAGCCCCGAGTAAACGTTCGCTCTCTCTCTCTCTCTCTCTCTCTCTCTTCCATCGTCTTCTCCGAGGCTCTGAGCTCTCTCTCGGTGAGATTTCTTGATAATGTGTGATGTGAAACCGCGGGGGGGGGGGGGGGGCAGGCCCCCTACGATGAATATGAGGCCATTTTGCGAGTCGTTCTTGTTAAAGCTGATGACGATGTACATTCTTCTTCATCTATGATAAACCCTCTTTATTTCTTTCCCATTTCCTTACTCCGTATTCCGGCCCCCATCCCATCTAATTGAGCTTTCCTCAAGGCCCACGCCCGCCCGCACACACACAAGCACACGCACGCCCCCCAACCCCATCACTCCCTCACCATCCACATCCACACATACGCACACGCACACAAGGCTAATCTGGAGTTCCGAGGGACCGATTACACCCTGGCGATTCAATTTAGATATCCTTGTCAAGCTGGTAAGAAATCAAAATGCGGTTGATCTTGAAAGTCACGAGTGGCAGGCACACTAAAGCCTGCTTCAGGGTACTTTGTTTGGTTCGTTGATGACTGGAAGTTCGGATCGGGCGAGGGATGGTATATTAGATCAACCAAAAAGTCCTCACGAGATCTCCAAATGTGGGCATGCCAAACATCCCAGCAAAGAAAAAGAAGAAGAGAACAATCTATCGGGGCGGTTCCACCTCCTCCTTCGTGTTTCTCTTCTTCATCTGGAGCTTGCAAAACGGCCCCCAAAGAGTCGCACCTTCCCCCCACCCCCGGCCTTCCCGGCAAAGGTGACGAGCATGAGTGAGATGAACTACATCGCACTCTCACCGCCAACCGCTCGGTCGGCCGGCAGGTCTTCCCCCAGATTTGGTTGTCCAATTTCGAAGCAGTGTGGCCTTGTAAGTAAGATGAGATAGGTCCCGGCGATGAACGGCGGTGGGAGTTGTGGGCTGACAGAGAGGCGCGTGAACGCGTAGACCCTGTTCCCTTCGTGTAATTCATATACGAGAGAGCACTGCCACGGATAGAGACTGGGCAAAGGGTAGAAGTCGTCAGAATCCGTGAGAGGGAGGTATCCGTAGAGACTGCCATGGCAAGGGCGGTGCAGGGTGATGCTGTGTCCAGCTTTTCACCTCTCCTTGAGTTGTTCTGCCCTCTCTCTCGAGTGATCTCTCTCACCATCCTACGGGTCGAGCTCATCTGCAAAGGGAATCTAGACTTTGGTTTGACTCAACGACCGCGTGATACCCGTTCGGCAGTCGGATAGCGAGCGGACATAAGACTCTTTAGCTTCCCTCCCTCCTCCTCCCTCCATGACCACCCCGTCTTCGATGTCCAAGTGAAAAGTTCTGTGTAACTGTGTCCCTCTATCTCCGATGCCCAGACGCGCGATGCAAGAGCCCGAAACCTCACAACCATGTACGGCTCCATCTCAAACTTCCCAAGAGAAAGGTAAGTAAAGTACTCTTGGGGGCCGAAAGGGGAAAGGAGCTCGCAGACAGAAAGAGCAAGGAGCTCTGCGAGTCTACCCAGGAAGTGCGGAGCACCTCGGCAACTACCTAGGAAAGAAAGAGAAAGAGAGAGAGGAAAAAGAAATAATGAGCAGAGAGAGAAACAGAGAGAGACGGTTCACAATGTCTTAGACGATTAAATGCAAATCACCAGAAACATATAATAAAAAATACCGTTCTCCTTCATTTTGCGCAAACACCCTTTCCACCCTTTTCAAAGGTTCCCAAATCCAGGATCGAGGCTTATAGGAGAGACAGTATGGGAAAGAGGGAGGCCGGTTGGTCTGCCGTGCCGCCCCTTTCCCCCCGATTAGGGAGCGGCAGAGAGAAAAGGTTGCATGGGATTTGCATTTCCGGATCTACTGTCTCACGTTTCCCACTGCCCTACTGCTCTCTTTCGAATGTCCCTGATATCAGACATGACAAAGACGGGTGTGAGCGTCGCGCAACATGTAGGCACGTCGCCCACTGCTGGCAATGCCCAAGATGTATCCTAAACTTTTTCTTTCTGTCGAGAGGAAGTAATGAATGAGTGCTCGAGAACCCAGAGCTCATACGTCCCAGCTCTTCCTTATCTGGGAATTTGAAATCTCTGGTTAGCAGCCGCGTGGACCTATCGTTTTGTACCGTACATCGAAAAAACGGGCGATACAACATTCACACCTCGTGGCAGGTTCTCAAAAAGGGCCGGAAGGGAGGCAGTGTCTCGGTCGATCGGCGAGCGCACGCGGGGAGAAAGAGAAGAGAAAGGGCAGTACTTCATGCAGACATGAACTGGAGCAGAGGAGGATTTGCAATTCTAGTCCATCTAGACCCATCTGTACATTCCCGTTGTCTCAAACCATCTTATGCACGTCAACGGCGCCACTTACAACAGGCTGGGCTGACTGCGACATGGCCTATGAGAGACAGTACAGCAGCAGAATATACATAGACGGAGGCGTGAGAGTGGGGGATCAGGAGGGCTCGCTCCCATCATCAGCTTACCTCTGCATCGCGGTACGTACGGGCGTGCTCAGGAACAACATAAGCTTGCTTCACCTTCAGACCTACTTCTTGGCAAGACAGGACGAGGCAACCACTCAGCATACAAGGCGCAGTATATGGACCCGTAGATCATTTGCAATGAAAGGTGAAATTCCTTTTACCTCCTAAAACTCCCTTGAACCCTCAACGGGCAGGCTACGTGTCATGGTGATGCTATGGGGTGGTGTTCGAAAGGCAACATTGCCCGGAACTATGGTACTCGAAAGATGCCCGTTCAACTCCCTTTCCTCCCTTTCCGATAATATCAGACGTAATTCCTGCCAGTTATAAAATAAAATCAATATCGGAGACGCATTGCCTCCCGCTTGTAGAGAGGAAGGCGTTTCCTTGAGCCTCTTTTCCCTCCCTTCTTTGGCCCTATACTGTGCCCATGCTGGGACTTGTTGATGTGAGACGTTTGTTGGAATCACACCCTCCTGGAAAGCCTTCCCTCTTCTCCACCCCAGCCACAGCTGGCTAAACTGGTATGTACCGAGTGTCCTTCCCAATCAAACGGCATCATCCATCCGTCTCAACGCCCCCAGCTAGTCGTCCAGTCCCGTGGATCGAAAGGGAAGGAGGCGGCCTCCATCACCTTAGCTTGGGAAGATCTTGTCTCTGCTACTGGACCCCTGCGAACTCACACTATTGCGGTTTGTATGGTATGGTAAATTCTCCGGCTTGAGATTCTCATCCGTCGACGAGGCCGTGCCCTGACGCTGCGGCGCTTTCTTGGTAAGCACTGCCCTGGGTTTCTCGGCCGGTAGCGACTCGCTGCTGGTGCGTGTCTTGGTCAGCTTGCGAGACGCACGTTTCTGCGACGGCGCTTGCGACTGCGTCTCAGCAATAGATCCCGGGTCCGTAGTGGACCTTGTGTCGCTCGATAGGCGGCTAGATGTCGAGGTGCTGTTGGACGGTCGGCTGTATGCCGGATTGTCTCTGATTGGAAGGTGAAAATTCGCCGCGGCTCCGTTTTGGTCCGCAGTTATGTATGACGGCGAAGTGGAAGAAGAGCGGATGGCATCAGGAGATGAGGCGGCCTGGGTGGCTGTTAGCGTTGAAGCCTCGAAAATCCGACTAGAGACTCGCTTACGGATGCTTGAGGGCTGACATAGGTGTCCAACTTCTTCTTTAGCACCTCCGAGCGCACCGGCTTCGCGAGATAGTCGTTCATGCCTGCCGCCAGACACTTTTCTCGATCTCCCTGAATGGCCGATGCCGTCATGGCGATGACGAGGATCTTCCGTACAACGTCTATAGAATCCTTCCGAATCATCTTAGTCGCCTCGTATCCATCCAGCACGGGCATCTGTACGTCCATGAGAACCACATGGTAGGGTCGACCTTCCCTAGCCTTTTGCCGCAAGCCCTCCACAGCCTTCAAGCCGTTCTCGTAAGCATCCACGGTGGTGTAGCCCAGCCGTTGCGCATACTGGATGGCAATTTTCTGGTTAATGGGGTTGTCCTCCGCGACGCAAATCCTAATTTGGTCTTTGGGAACGGCGGTGAGGTCCAAGAACGGATTAGGCGACTCGCCGCGCTCGAGGTACGCAGAGCGCTCGACGGCTGGAGGGGACTTCATTTGCTGCGCGTCTCCGGCAGAAACGTCAGACTTAGCCTTGTCGAAAGTGACCTTGAACCATGCCGTTGTTCCCACGCCTTCTTGACTGTCGAGCTGGATCTTGCCCTTCATCATCGTTTCGATCAGCGACTTGCAAATGCTCAGACCGAGGCCGCTGCCGCCGTACTTCCGTGCTGTGCTGGTGTCTGCCTGGCTGAAGGGCTGGAAGAGCTTGACCAATTGCTGTTGCGGGATACCGATTCCGGTATCCTGAACTCTGAAGAGCAGTGTAGCTTTGTCGTTGGTCTCAGATTCCACTCGAGCCCCAATTGTAATTGAACCGTCCTCAGTAAACTTCAAACTGTTGCTGATGAGGTTTCCCAAGACCTGATGGAGTCTGATGGGGTCTCCAAAGATGAGTAGAGATGGTAGGTCAATATCCTGTATAATCTTGACGTTCTTCTGTTTCGTCTTTTGCCGGTTGCTGTAGGACACCGCTCGAACAACCTCCCGAACCATCTCTTCTGGGTTGAAAGCGATCACGTACAGCTTCATCTTGTCGGCCTCCATTCTCGAAAAGTCGAGAATATCGTTGATGACCGTCAACAACAGCTCTGCCGACACCTTGATATTATCCGCCATCTCTTGCTGGTCCTTGTCTAGCTCGCTGTCCTTCAGCAATTCAGAGTTGCCGATAACACCGTTGAGCGGCGTTCGCAGTTCGTGCGAAACGTTGGCAAGAAATATCGACTTGGCCTTGGCGGCCTCTTCGGCGAGCTTGACGTTACGCTTGGCTTCAGCTTCAGCGTGCTTGGCTTTTGTCTCTGCTTCCAGTGCCTTTGCAAGGGCGCGCTTCTGCAGCGCAACCATGGAGACATTCTCTGCCGAGACTTTCTCTACGGCCTTCATGGCTAGGGCATTTGAGTAACTGATGCCAATCTGGTTGACTAGCAGCTGGAGGACGGACACATTACGATCGGTGAAAGACCCTGGCTCGCCCTCGAGATAGAGAACTCCGAGCAGCGGTTTTGAGCCGTGACAGATGGGAATCGCAATGATGGCCTTGCTAAGGACATTCCGTTGTAGCCAAGCCTCGCTCACGTTACCAAAACGCTCGTCACTGATGATGTCGGGAATGAAGACAGCCTCTCGGAACCGCGTGCAGTAGAGAATAACGTTCTCAGCAACGAGTGAGGTACCAGCAAGTGGAAGACCGGGGATATGAGCTGACGCTCCCCGTTCCGGATCACCGCTGGCTGCGAGAGACCACCCAGACTCATCCGAATCTTGTACCACAATGGCGGCTAGTGTAGCAGAGCCTCCGCAAGTCTGCAGAATGACATCGCACATAGTCTTGAGGAGCTCGTCGACCCGAAGAACGCCGGAAATGACCTGGGATGAGAGCAAAATCGCGTGCAAATCGATCATATCGAGTGCTGGCAGACCTGCCCCAGGTTCATTGTGCTCGTGCATTGAGCCACGCCACGCACCAATCCGATCGCCCTTTATATCGGCGATTGCAGTGTGGTTAGACTGCTGCATCCCTTCTGGCCCTTCTTCGCCATCCACAGCGCGGTAGTCAACAGTGCCGCTGTCTCCGGCGAAGTCGGTCTGAACCGCAGCGTCTATCGCTCTGGGGTTTCTTGTCGGGCTGTGAAGAAGGACGGCGTGTTCTTCCTCCAGGCGCTCAGCCACGGCCACGGCGCCGAACTGACGGTAGAACGCAATGGCATCCCTAAAGGCAGAGCGAGCTAGCCGTCGAGCCTTGCGTCTAACGAGCGTGCCGGCCATCAGTGTGTTGCCCAGTGCCGCTTCGAAAATGTAATTATGTTCCTCGGCGTTATCCAGAGCCTCCTCGTAGAGCTTGACCGCGCCCCCATAATCGCCGTTCAATTCCGCGACTTGGGCCTCTAAGATTCTGGACCATGAAAGGTAGTTCACTTCGGTGTATACCTCCCATTCCTTGATTCGCTTGGTCAGTTCGCGCAGCGTGCGTAGAATACTCTCGGTTTCGCCGTCTAGACTGCTGGGATCTAGACGAGGGTCGTTGAGCCTCCGAAGCATCCTTCCTGCAAGAGCAAGTCCGTAGAAAAAGATGACTAGCCTGCTGTTGCGAGCCGACCATAGGTTCTGGATGGACTCGTAACACATCTCACCGACCTCAATCGCGCGATCGTAATGGCCGTAGATGAAGAGCGGAACTATCTCAATAGTCTCATACCAAAGAACCGATCGATTGCCGTTTTGAGTGTTGGCTCTCAGCCATGACTTGTAGTTTGCCGAATTGTGATGATCATCAGTCATGACCTCGGAGGGATCGGTTGTCCGCGTCTTGCCCTGCAAAGCCCGACAAGCTTGCCGAATGGAGATCAGGAGAGTGCCACCCCGCGTATCATGGTGCCAGTTTGGAATCTCTTCACAGCCATACTGGCAGAAAGCCTCGAGGTCGGCACAATTCTCGCTCGCAAAGAACTTGAGCTGCGCCGCAAGCCCAAAGCTGAGTATCGAGGAAATCCGATCACCGGCTGCAGCCGCATAGTCGACTGAGCCCTCCAAGTGCGTCAACGCCACGGCGATCGGAATTTGAACATGCCCGATGAAGTTGGCGTACAGCATATAGCCTCTAGCCATCGAGAAGGGATCACGGTATCGGTCAAGTAGCTCAATACAGACGTTGCCCACCTCAACTGCGAAGCTCACCATGTTGAATCTGGCCAGAGCGACGAGACCGAGATGTAGAAACGCCATGCCTGATTGAGGGAAAGCGCCGTGAGTGAGATGTAGATCCAGCATGACGAGGGAGAGGTGGTAGAATCGCAAGTAGTCGCTCCACCACGCAGCGCTGACAGTCTCTGCCAACACAGCACCGATAGACGGCAAGCTGGGGTCTGTTGATGGTGTCGGGTTCATCAGCTCGTTCTTGTCCATGGTCTGTATTCTCACAGACATCTTCTCGAACTGATCGTCGCATTTTTCAAAGGTGGGTTCGTCATCGAATTGCACGTCAAGTGCCTGTAGACATTCTTTCAGTGCAGCCAGCGCGCCTCGGGCATTGCCACCTTGCGCTAGGGTTCTGGACTGGAGGACATAGGCTGGCGCCTTGTCTAGAGGGCTTCGTGCACACTGGAAAATTGTATCTAGGAGGGAGTTAGCTGCGGCATGATTGCTCATGTACAGATAGCATTCCGCAGCCCGTAGATGCAGCTGCATCGTCTCATCATACGAGACATCCTCAAGCTGGTCGTTCCATGGATCTGGCTGAAGTAGAGCGACTGCCGTACTGTAAAGTTTTGAGCCAGTTGGGCGGGCACAATTCTCCACGGCCGACTGTGCGCACTCGTACAGTAGCTTACGGTACGTCTGGCGTCTAGGGACACGCTTCTTGATAATGTCGACAGACTCGCAGATGTGCGCAGCGGTGTTGTCCTTGGCTCTGGGATCAACTGAATAGTACTTGAGAAGCGTCTGTGCAATAACGAAATGCATCTTTCGCGCGTTGCATTCCTTCAATGCTGCCGACGCCTGAATAAATCGGTCGTGGGCGAAGCGGAATCTATCGTCTGTCTCGCTCGGGACGATGATATAAGCCTGAACCGCGGCTTGCAGTCCGTTGATTGCTTCTTGCTGAGAGTACGTCGCGTGGTATTGTTCGTTGCCTGGACCTTGACACGATGCCTCTTCATTGTCCTGGTACTGGAACTCGCCACTCAGAAGTCTGCAAATGAGCTCGAATGAGAAGGAAGATCCGAGGAGTGCAGCCCATGCAAGTATCGCTCTAGAGGCTGGAGGTAGCTCGCTCAATCTCCGTGTGATGAAACCGGTATCGAGTATGTCATAGTCGCTTGCGCCTTTGAAGTGCTCGAAGAGTCTATCGAGGTCGAAATGCCAGTTGCTGTCTCTGTAGTCGTACCATATACACTTCTTCCGGTAACAGGCGCTCAGCATCTCTCGCATATAGAATGGGTTGCCTGCTGTTTTGGACTGTATGACCAAAGCCAGAGGAAGAACCTCCTCCTTTGGTCTGCACAGCGTCGTCGCGACATATTGGATGATGTCATCCTCGCAGAGGGGAGTCAGTTTGATTCGGGTCACTACGGGACCGCCTGATCGTGGAAACTCTGCTAACTGGTCAGCATATGATGGCGGCTTTGGACGGTGCGAGAAACTTGCCTTCGGACTCGGGAGGTGAGATGATAGATTGAACTTGTTCCGGTGATAGCTCCTCTGGGCGGTAGGTTATGATGACGACCATCTTCATCCGTGCCCCAATGATCTGTGTAATCAATTCCATGGACTCATCATCTGCAAAGTGAAGGTCATCCAGCACAAAACATATGAACTTGTGGGATGTGAACATGCGAAGCACGTCGAGGAAGGTGTTCATCAATCGCATGGTTTTGGTTGCTCCACCAGCTCGCAGGAAGTCCTGGGACGCTTGTGAAGAGATGACCGTAGGCTTGTTCAAGCGGCCCGGCGAGCTTCCCGGCGACGAGCCACGCCTCTTGAGCCCTGCCCTGATGGACCGACTTTGAGTTATGCTTTGAGTGATGGACACTGATCGAGGAACGGAGCTGTCAAGCGCGCCTATGAGGAAGTCTGGTAGCCCAAGGACTTTGTGCAGCATTGGCCACACCGGACGAACGTATTGCTTTAGCGCCTGGTGAAAGGGGGTATCCGTGTTTCGCTCGCCGAATACCTGTTTGAAGAGTGACGACAGCAGCTTAAGCAGTGGTCCAAACGCAGTTCGGCGCGCGGTATCAAATTTTGCCGTGGCACAGTATCCCCTCCTCCTGGCTTCAGCGAGTGTCGACTGGTAGAGGCAGCTCTTGCCCAAGCCCCCGGCTCCTTCGACGAGAACGATCTCGCAGTGTCCGCGCCTACGGAACTTTGCCGATCCGAGCTGACGTGACAAACTCGAGGACGATGATTCCACTGCACTCAGTCGGTTGCTGTCTGTTGGCGTACCTACACCATCAATAAGACTCCGAGTTTCGATCGAGACCGATTGGTGTCTTTCCCATTGCCTCTCCCACGGCCTGGTCATTCTCGCAAACGGACCGGAATTAGACGAGGCGATGGTGTCGCCCGATATCGTCTGAGTATCGGATAGGACGGACGGAACAAAACTAGCCTTTGACTGCCTAGGATCAGAGGACGTAGTATGCGTGAAGGATCCGCTGCGACGTGTCGTGCCTTCTGCCGAGCTTGCGCCCTCGCTCGACAGGTCCCCGCAGTCAGGGAGCTCAACCGAGAGCTGCGAACCATCAGAGAAGCGGTTGTTTGTTGTAGACTTTTGATTCATCGAATGGCTCTTGGCGACCCGCTCAATGACTCTGATAACTTCTGCTCTTTCTTTTTGCCGGCCGATCATCATACTGGGTAGGATGAAGAAGGACGAGATGTCTTTTTCGCCAATCTTCCACTCCTTAAGCGCCAACCAGTCGCCGTCGGTCAAGAATTGCTGCACCTTGAGAAGGTCATGCTTCAAACCACTAGCCGAATGATATCGATCAGCGACGGACTTGGCCGTGCACTTCTGTATGATGCGTCCGATAACGTCGGGTATATCGAGCCGAACTTGCGATACATTGGGGATTCTCCGCCCTAGAACGCCTTGCACAATATCGAGGGGCGTCTCGCCATCAAATACCGGCTGTTGTGTGAGTAACGTCCAGAACACGACTCCAAGAGAGTAGATGTCAGTCCGACTATCAGGTTCTGCCGGCATACGACCTGTCTGCTCCGGGCTAATATAGAGGAGCTTGTTCTTGGCGCCCAATTCTTTTGATAGGCTCGACCATGAGGTGCTTGACAAGCCCCCCTCGAAGGATCTCGTCCCCGTGCCAAAGTTGATGAGCTTGACCGAGTTTGTCTCGATATTGAAGTGGAAGGCGTCCGGCCTGATCTCTCCATGCGTAATCACCTGCCCATAGTGGAGGATTTCCAGGCACTGACTAGCGCCAATGGCAAAGTCGAGGAAGTATTGTAGGTCTATCGGAGGCTTCAAGCGCAAATTCTGTTTGCGATACGCCTCGTACCGGTCGTCGACCTTCCTGGCCTTGTAGAATGCCGGTCCCATGTCCATCAGATCAAAGAGGTAGTTCTGGCCGGGATGCTGATAGATTGCGACCACAATAGAACCCCGATCGCCGGGGTGAGGAGCGAGTCGGATGAGGTCGAGCGGCTTGACAATGTGCAGTCCTTGAGGGTCGGCCGTGGCAAATAGGTTCTTAGCTATATGGAAGGCCCTCTCCTCACGGAGCACATGGTAGGAGACGCGAGCCACCACTGGCTCTTCTACGTATGATATCTCTGCAGCGCCGGCGGGGACTGCGGGCGGCGAGGTAGCCGAGAAGTCGCTGCTCGCATCGCTGGGTAGGCCCGAGTGAAGGCTGGAGGAACTCGTATGCTCGGAGGGCGACGGTCGACCGGACTGTAGTCTCGCGATCGAACCGGGACTCGAGGCGGGTAAGGATGAAGAGGAGGAGGGCTGGTATGGAGATACAAATCTGGTACCGCAAACGTGCCTGTCCGCACAGGTTAGCCATTGCAACACTTGAGGAGAGGTAGAGAGAAAGCGACAGAGATTGTTCTTTGGTGCTCGGCGGGCAACACTGGAAGGCAATGGTGTGGGGGCGGGACTCACCAGATGTCGTAAGATGTATGGAAGGGAAGCCGGGACTCGTCCCAGGTAAAGCCGGCGATCTGGCGAAGGCGCTCAAAAAGGCGCGAGGGAGGGTCGAAGTGGTCGTCCGACACGATGGCAGTGCCGTCCATCATTGAGGCCGGTCATTAGGCGCAAGCCGGAGCTTGGAGGCCAGGTGCACTTGTCGATGGTGGGGATGAGTGGGATTTTGGAGGGGCGCTCAGTTCCTTGAGTATCGGCGTCGGCCTTTGTTTCGCAGTCGGCGATGATGTCGTCGCGAGAGTCAAAGTTGACGTAGATGGGGTCGTGAATATCAGCTAGAGACTACCGTCCATGTCATATTTCTATGGGAAGCTCGAGGCGCAACTTGTACGACGGGGGTTGGGTAAACCGGAGGATTACAGTGCGGATGGTGTTGATGTTTCTGTGCATGCGAGAGGTCTCTTGCATCGGCCGGGTATGGGTATGCACGCGCGCAATCGGATCAGGTGGACGAGGGGTGGTCGGCCTCGCTATGGATACGGCGAAAAGGCAGCAGCAACAGCAATCTTCAGCAGTCTGTGAACTGAGGAAGACGAAGAATGACTAGGGGTTTAGAGGGCGTCGTCGGGCGACGGACGGGTGAGCGAGTGGGCAGCTGTCGGAGGAGGAATAACCAGTCGTTGACGGTGCCGTTTGAACCTCTCGCTTTCACACCTGGGACCTCGAACAGAACTGGACCTTTGCTTGGCCGTCTTGCTGACCACTTAGGATCGAGATGGGGCAGGATGCACGCTGCACGGAGACGTTGAGCGATGGTGGCATCCGGCGACAGGGCAGCCGGAGGTTGCTTAAGGTGCGGCACTGGACAGGCGCGGGCAAGGGCAGGCTGGAGTTCTGAAGCAGCAGCACCCTTGAGGAGTGGAGTACGTAATGATTTTTAAGAGGAGCAAAGGGCACCTTCCAAGCGCCAGGGACCAAGCCCACGCCTTCCCAAGCACCAAGTTCTCTTCCACCTTAGCTGTTACGGAGTACATACTTACCTTACCTTACTACCTACCTAGGTACGTGAGTGCTAAGGCATCCTCAGTATCCATTCGCAATGGGACGTATCCCTCCAGCTTTCAAGGGAAATGGAAGCCTCCACCTGCCCTGGAAAACTTGAATCTAACCAGGCCAACTCCTGGCACTGCAACCTTTCAGTTGTATCTCGGAATTGTTCCAAGAAAGCAGAGAATACCTTACATACACCTGGAAGTAGCAGGAGTAGTCGCACTTGCATACAGAGCACCCCATGTTACTTGCATATTAGGGACCCGGAGAAAACAGACAACTTCAAGACCGACACACGCATGTGCCGTAGTAAGTCAGAGGCCAAATAGGGAATGGGGCAGCCATCCAATCCAGTATGGAAGGTATCAAACGCCTCCCCAAACTCCCCTCGTCAAACATGCAAACGTTGGTGTCTCTGTTAAACAAAAACAGGACCCACGCCAGTGACATCTCGGCGTTCTTTCCTTGTCTCGTTCCTCTCGTTCCCTTCAGGCGGCTCCTTGTTCCCCTTCTCCTTTCCTCTATACGAACACACAGTAAGGCAGTCTCAACAAGGAATTTGGTGCTCTTGTGAAAAAGGCTCCGCAACGGATATGCCTGCGCTGAAATTCGGAGAGATGAACAAAACAGATCACCAAGACGAGGAGAAGGAAGATGCATGCCAATCTAACCCCTGGTCACAGCAGTGGAGGAAGAGAGAAGCTATCCACTTATTTGGGGGCTCTAGGCCCTTGAGCAGAAAGCATTCCCAGCCCATCATCGCTCGCTCCTATCTCCCGGTGCTCCAACGGCAAACAGTCTCCAGTCAGCGCCAGATAAACGCGAATGGAATCATGAATGGTGTACCCGGCAGGCAGAGGTAGCTCGAAGCATTAGGCATGCAAAATCCAGTACAAGAAAGGGGTAAACATCCACCACAGGCAATGATTGGCAGGCACAAAAAAACAATCGTCGCTACGTTCTCACCTTCTCGACCGTCTGTTTGGCCGAGCTCGCAGATACAAAATGTCGATCATCGGAGCTCTCAGCCGTCCACATTCACAGCGATGAACAGGGCTAACTGGGGTGACACAGAGCATCTTGTGCTCAAACCCTCAATGCCCATCCATGCCCACCAGTCAATCGACAGGCGGTGCCTCATGCTATTCAACTCTCCAAACTCCTACGAGCCTCACATCTTTCACCCACCAAGCTCCTGACGAACTTTTCGCCAGAACCTTGAAAGATGACGGGAGATATGGAGGTACAGACAACCTTCAGTCTGTTCTCAAATCTACGGATAGATCTGGCCACACTCCTTCACACTGAACTGCCGGAGCCTTTGTTCCCTGCTTTTTTTTGTCCGTTTCCGCCGCTTTCCACCCGTCGCCCTTTCTCCGTCTCGCTAGGTCCGTCGCGCCATGATGGAACCTATCAGTTTAGCACCACCGGCTTTCCCTCCCCCCATCCACCTCCCGGGTCCCGTCCTGGTTTTCCTTGCAATGAGCACCATTGACCGCTGATTCCTTGACTGTCCCGTCTCAACACCTAGGCCTTCTCCTTTGCTGATCTTTTCCGCACGCCCGGTCATTCGCCGGAGCTGAACGTTTCCATTCTGACAGCTGGTCCAAAGTCTCGAAGGCTCGAAGGCTGAAGTTGACCATGTCGTTGTTAGAGCATAGGTAGACATGTTTACCCATCTTCTGTGGTAGGTTATGCAGCACTGGTTCCAACGTCCGCCTACTGTAAGGGTAGTCAATCAAAGGGTCCAGAGCTCAATATGAACCAAATATCCAGCCGTTTCTTAATACCAGGGTAGAAACCACGCCGTCTCTTTCACCAAGGAAATAAGATAAAATGCCCCCCCACCGCCGCCGTGGAACTGACGGAGCCGTCGCGACTCATTCACATACCCAAACCCCTGCTCCTCCAAGTCTTCTAGTACCAAATTTTCAGCTCTCAGGGAAATTCTCGAAGGTGTCTTTGGCGAGACGGTGAGTAAGAAACTTAGTGGCGAGACTAGCATCGAATCATCGAAGCCATCCATCTCATCATTTTTTTCAAGATTTCTTGTAGATACCTGAGTCGTGGCATAAAATCCTTAGAGTTTAGGGCGAACAAGTTAAAGCCAAAAGACAAAAAGAAAATGATGTCATTGGCGCACTGCCAAACTAGTCTGTGCTACGATGCTACCCACCTCACTCGGACCCTGAGTTTTTTTTTTTTTTTTTTTTTTTTGTGATTTGACTGCGTCGCTTCTTTAGCGTCGTAGAAAAGAGTGCGAGGAAAGAAGAAGACGAAATCAGTAAACTGGTGTATACCCGCTTGGCTGCAATAAACCACTTCGCCACTTTCTTCACGATTTCCGTCTGATATTAACCCAAATCCATTTACCCGCGGGGTCTGGGGATATTACTAAGAATAAAGCACTCGCAACGACCGAGTTGCCTACCGATTCCCTGTTACCCGTGCAATATTGGCCTAGGACTATAGGTCCCTGAACCAGTTTCCTCTGAACTCCATAGCTAAATATCAAGAATCAGCGTCGCACTTACGGAGACGACGAAGATGCAGAATCTCGTATCAACTCATCCGAATTTTGTGATGGGTAGCCTCGATTCCTTGGTTCTGATGAGTTGAGCCTCGTAGGCTTGAAATACGCTGACTAAGTAGAATGGGGGAAACGAGAAAACAAGCAAACAAGGACATGTCAGACGCCAGAGACAAGGGTGCCAAACTCAACGGCTCACTGGATCGTGACTTTTTGTCAGATAGACGCTAGTTCGACCGGATGGCGGACCGTTTCCGTTGGCATGCCCATTACGCATCAGTAACACTACAGCTTCATATGCAAGGGTCGCAGCTATCCGGACGCACCTCCGACGCCGAGGCCACACGGGAGACGACAAGACGATATCAGAGTGGAACAAACAAATGCTCGAATGGTGTGAGATTGTAGGGGCCAAACATCTATACTCTATGTAGGTATTCCTTTTCGAGGGCAAGCTGGCCCCCCACGCCTACAGCTGCGCACGACTTTCAACATCAACATCGTGGGTATGGCGCACCGGATGATATTCCCTCCCCCGCCCCAATTCAACATCGTAAAAACTCCCAGGTATTCTCTTTATGCTTAGCCAAAAGCAGCTCCCTTTTTCCTGAGCTTGCCTCCTTCCATTGGTCATGCTCATGCTTCTTTCTATTGCTTTATAGCAACAAAACTTGAAAAATCAATGCAATTCTTTGCCTCCTTTTCTAACAGCTTCCGCCACCATACGGTAGGCTTACTTGCTGTGCGAGGGAATGCCGTTGGCCTGGGAGCCGAAGGCGAATGACGCGGCAAGGCGACGCTCCTCGTTCTTGCGGCTGTTGACGAAGTCGGGGTAGTTGAGCGTGAGCTCGACGGCGCCGTTGACAATGTTGTCGGCGGCCTCGACACCCAGCATGAAAGAGTGGTCCTGGTTGCCGACCTCGTATCTCCAGGAACCGAAGCGGCCACGAGAGTAGATGCCCTGGTCGAGGAGCTTGGGAAGGAGGTCCTTGAGGACTCCCTCTCTCTCGAGCGAGGGGGTGGGGTAGCCGTGGTTGAAGCGGCGGTGGTAGGTGGAGACGATCTCGTCCTCGGGCTTGATCATCTCGGTGTTGATAAGACCCTGAATGCACTGCTGGAGGAGCTTCTCCTGCTCAACGGGCTTCATGGAAGACTCGGAGACCTCAAGCATAATGGACCAGTAAGGGCCCTCCTTGGCCTCGGTAGAGGAGGCCTTCTCGCCGTTGGCGAGGTACAGCGTAGGCAGCTTGACGTCGGCCTCGGGCTGGTTGTAGGGAGAGTAGTTGGAGAAGATGGTGGCGCGGTAGAAGGGGCAGTTGTCCTCGGGGAAGTACAGCCAGCACTTGTCGCCAATGCGGTCGGGGCGAGCGCCACGGATACCGACACCGATAACGTGAGTGGAGGAGTAGAACAGACCCTTGGACAGGCTGACGAGCTCCTGGTTGCCCATGCGCTCGACGAGCTGGTCGACGTTCATGGTGGAAATGAGCTTGCCGTACTGGACCTTGGTGCCGTCCTTGAGGGTGACAATCTTCTTCTCGGCGTCAACCTTCTCAACGGTGCCCTTCTCGCCGTAGCGAGTCTTCTCCTTGGGCAGGGTGTTGGCAACAGCGATCCAGATACCACCGGTACCGTCACGGGCGGGGAACTTGAAGGTGGCGTTGGGGCCCCAGTTACCGGCAACCTTGTTCATGACGACGTTCTCGGTGACGAGCTTCAGGTTGGGAGCAGCAACACGCTCTCCGAGCCACGCGCATTGCATCTGTAGAGAGATTAAAGTTAGCAAGCAGATCCAGTCTCAGGAGAGGTCTGTTCGCATGGAGGAAGTAGGCTTACCTTGGTCGTGGGGACAGCCCAGACCTTGTAGTTGTAGGGGCGCATGAAGATGTTGGCAACACCCTCACCGCAGTTGCGGAGGATCCACTCATCGAAGTCCTTGGGCTTCTTGTCGGCGACACGGCACTCGAGGGCGGCGTCAATGAGGCCGTTCATGCACTTAACCTGGTCCTCCTTGGGCAGGATAGAGATGTTGTTCTGGAAGGGGTAGGGAACCCAGATGCCCTTGTAGCGGACGTAGGAGACACGCTCGTGCGTGAACCAGTCATCCTCCTTGGGGAGCGCCTCCTCGATGCAGTCGTCGAAGTACTTGTAGTGGGAGAAGATGACGTGGCCACCAACATCGTAGAGCTGTTCATTGGAAGCTGGTTAGAAATTGTTTCTTTGGCTAAACAACACCCAATTCCTGAGCAATCTTCCTGCTGCGAAGGAAAGCGTGGGAAACAAGGAGGCACTCACAAAACCCTCAGGGGTGGTATCAGTGCCAGCAAGACCACCGGCCTTCTCAGCGGAGTCAACAAGCAGCCATGAGGGGCCGTTCTGCAGTCAATGTTAGCATTGAAACAATGGGCGGGCTGGGGTAGTGGCAATTTGGCGGTGAGGACGCACAATCTGGTTCAGACGCTTCGCAGCACCGAGACCGGTCGGGCCAGCGCCGATAACCAAGACGTCAACGTTGCTAAATGAGGGGAATACAGTCAGTCGAGATTCTTCAATGATTTGGGCGTCTGGAATGCCATGCAGATCCGGAGCCGTGGCTCTGGAATGGGCGCAATGGGCAAGCGAAAGACATTTGGGACGCAAAGGGGACAAGGAGGAATAACTCACATGTCAGCCATGGTGGGGGATGTGTGTAGAAGGTGTTGGGGAAGCAGCAACAGAAAGAGA